CCTAACCTGGTTCCGGTATTCCTCTAAGGTGAATAATTGCGAGCCTGTAATACCAACTCTTTGAGCTGGCGTCGTCCACAAGGACCTTTTGGGCAGAGATTCTTCCCCGTAGAATCCCCCCAATGAAGTATTTAAGGGGCTAGATTCCCGCATGACTCCGTTTTCTCTCGCAGCATGCGTGATTCTAGTGACATCATTCTCAGTGATATCACCCACAGGGGTCTCCACCTCCAGGTTGTCTCTCACTGAGGTCTCTCCCACTGCGTTATCTCTCACCGGGGTCTCACCACCGATAGCCTCATCTAGTATGATGAGACTCGTGCACACCACATCAGCACTACCCTGCATGTGTGCTTGTAGCATCACATCTTCCGTGGCCCTCAAGTGCTGCTCCCCTTGTTCCCTGCACTCTTGCTCAGTAAGAGTGTCGTAGTCCTCGGGTCTACGAGCAGTCAAGGCCAAGCGAAGATACAGGTAGCACTGTTTGTACTCTACACACTCAGACATACTGGTTGTGTGTGTACCTAACAGAACGTTAAACGTCCTCTGAATACTGCTCGTCACTTTTGAATTTTCAGGGAAAATTTAAGTGCGAAATTTTACTGTACAACCTAGCTCATAAGTTCCAACTACGCCAATCACGTTGGGCGCCAGATGTGGGGGTTTTCTATTTTGCTTTCCCGACTTCAATGCGTACGTCGCCAATGTACATGTGGCAGACACTTCACGAAACTGTCGGAATCAGCAGAGAAAATACGAGAGCAACCGTACAGGGCCTGGGAGCAAGGTCGAGTTAGAGTCCTTGAGGGTCACTTCACAGACTAGCCTCACCTTGTCGTGGTCCACGTCGATCGTTAGAATCTCCTCAATGATTTAACACTTTAAGGGACTCCTAGGGTCATCATCATATTTATAGTTTAGTGAATAATAGGAAACTCGGTGTTGGAGACACCTGGAGCTGAAGGCTTGAGTAAATAGTTGGCAGTATTCAGAAGTGGTTCAACGGAAACACTGCATATAGCTTAACAGTAGTTTATTTACTAACGTAACCACTAATACAAAGGGTGCTTGATTTACTTTAGATTGGCGTCAGAAAGGCTATGGTTGCATTAGCAAGACTCTTGACGTCTGGCTAATCGATTCGGATCCACTCATGGAGAACCACCTAACTTAACACAATTGACAGCCAATCATTAACACGGCAAACCTAACTGCCGGTGTGCAAAGGGATCACAAGAATTTCAACTGGAGACTCAGGTAATGATGGGCAATGAATCTCAATGGCACTGTCAATGGGACAGGCAATAACATGCACAATAATAATATCACACAATAACTAAATGTGTGGTGTATGTGAAGCTCACATTCACAGACGAATGTAATGTCATGATAATACACAGATAAACACACACTGTTGGGTGTCTAGGTCTCCACCTATACCTGTGTCAGGTATAAGAAGGTGAGAACTGTGGTTGATCCCTCAGATCAACACAGACAGACACAATATAACAATGACAAGATCTTGTACTTACAGGTAGGCTACCTCTCTTATTCACTCACTCACTCACTCAGGCACATTTATGCAAGAACTCGTAGGTGGCCTGACAGCTAGGCGCTCGTTCTGACGTGAGACCATTGGCGACAGGCTTTCCCACAAACTGTACTTGACACGGAGGGTACTCGCAGGAGGGTGCACTGTATGTCTAACAGACACACGCGCACACTTGATGGCACTGGCGGTGAGTAAGGTGGTGACGTCACATAGTACCGTGAGGCAGAGCAGGTGGCGGCTTTAGGCTACCCACACACTCTGGACCGAGTGGCGGATGGCGGCTGAATATATGATACCATGCAGGTACACTGTGGTAAAAGTCACACACAGATTACTTAGGCAGCGGCACTCCTTAGTTCGCTCTAGGTCACTCACAACGATCTCAACTTGTCACCAGTCCTGGGTTACCTGATACCAGTCTGTTTCGCTCTGGTGATTTGTCACTAGACTTCTAAACAACATAGTCATGATCACGATTCCGGGCGAGTGTTGGTATATCGAAAAGACGCTGAGTTTTAACTTGACGATGAGGAATGGACGGTGTTCAGTCCATTGGCCGATAGACTGAACAGGACACGTCCTCTGGCTATGAACTCCCTCACGAGAATACCCTTGCAAGAGAATGCCCGGGGCTCCTCGTGGGGCACAAACACAAGGGGTTACAATTGACCAATGGCGTTTCAGCAAAAGAGCGGGAACCAGTCATATTGATCGTTCCATGATCAGTAGCAGAGGTGACGTCATGAACACATCACGACCACGTCACAGTTGTTATTCTCCATCGCGCCGGTTGAGGCTGACCCCAGAGGTCAGATCTGTCGCCTCGCTGGCGTCTCCTCTCTCTCTCACGCCTGGCACCTCCTATGTACTCACTGACCTTGTTGCAAGTATGCTTAACTTCCCCGTATCTAATTCACCCTTTGACATACGGCAGCCTCCGTATTATAAACGTGTTCCTGGTTAAGTGGGCATCCTGGAGATACCCAACATGACAGTTTACTATCCAGAGTTAACAGAGATAGGGCTTGTGCACGAGATCGGTGCACTGTGCACTGCAATGAGCCATTCAAGTCAGCTGTGGGATAATCTTGAGAGATCATCCTCTCACAGTCACTCATATTAAAATGATGAGACTACATGATGTATATACAGATGAAAGCATACAGCACTTCCTTCCACCCTGGCAGATAGTACCTTTTGACATCCTGACGCCTGCATACCCCACCAAGAAATTAATCACAAACAACCCGCATGCTCAGCTTGCTGCTAAATTAAGCACCATAAAACGCATTCACAATATACAAACTGAAAACAACATGACAAAGACCATATACACTGACGGATCACTCATTACAGCTACAGTGAGGGCAGGAAGTGCTGTTACTGCTCATCAACCCGATGGAAACACAGTTCAAAGTAATAAAAGAGTTAGTAACTGGGCATGTCTCCGAAGCCAGACATAGATATATAGGCATACTTAATAATGGGGTAAATATCAAATGTTGTGTATTGCTTCTCATATTAACCTACAGGAACATGGCAAAGTTGACGCGATTGCTGAGGTTGCAATAAATAACGACAGTGTTGAACAGAATCTTGAGTTATTCAATAGGTCCCCTAAAAATGTTATTAGACGAGAACTCTTGGATGAATTTGAAGAAAGCAGAACAGTGCAAATTGGAACTACCAGGTCCATTGTTCATCACAATGAAATGTGTGACAAGCTAAAATGTGTATGGGGCAAGTAACAACATCAGCAGACTAACAGACGTTGTCACAGCTCGAATACCACTCGGCTACAGGTGTCTCTGGCAGTTGGCTTGTATAGGGATCAAGATGTAGTAAAGTGCAAAGTGTGTGGGCAAAAACAGGGAAACACACTTGAACATTATATCTTAGACTGTAATAAAATTGAGCCATGCAGAGATAAATCTAAACTCACGCTGTATGAAATGGCAAACCATCTTATTATTAAGAATAAAATAACTGAAATCCTTGCACTGTATCCATATTTCGCTTCCAGTAGATAAACGACATATGAGATTTAGAAGTAAGTAGTGACACACAGAAATGACAATAGCATGATACATCAAATGAACAAATACACAAGGGCCGTGACGAGTGTTCGAATCTACATCCGAGAGGATCGCAGACGATTAAGGGCAGCGTCTGGGATCCTCTCTGCGAACCTCTCTCGGACGTAGGTTCGAACCCTCATCACTGCCATCGTGGATTTGTTCAAGTAGTGTATTGTACAGACTAAAAATAACAAACAGCAGTTCCCCTATGACCTTGTAATATCTCCATGGCTCAAACAATTATGTATTAGCGATAAGACCTACAATTAATGTATAATGATTGACTGTAAATATATAGCTATTGAAATAGAACATTCTTTGTAACCAGCTGACATTATAATTATAAGGTTTGAAGGATAGATGAAATTGTTAATGAAATAAACTCCGTTGAGGTCTGATAAAGACCTTTTGTGCTCTCTGTAATCCTTTTTTACGCTACACAGGATACGTATGGGGTGCACAATAAACTAGCTTCCTCCAGCGGCAACAATAAAAAAACATGCTGAGTAACTCTCGAGTACTTATTTACTGCTAGGTGAACAGTCGCATTAGGTGAAAGGAAATATGTCAAACTATTTCTATCCTGCACGGGATTCGAACCCGGAATTCTCGATTGTGCGTTGAGAACGAACCTGACTGTATTACCGGAACCCACATTAAGAAGAAACATTAAGAAAAAGCATTAAAACAATCAATAAGAGAAAACATTAAGAGCTATATTAATTTAAGAGTAAACATTAATAGTAAACATTATGAATAAACATTATGAGTAAACATTAAGAGTAAACGTTAAGAGTAAACATTACGAAGAAACAATAAGCAAGGTTTTGGTCCTCTAGTTGGTTAGGAAGGCAGGAAATTCTCCTAAGGTTTCAAAACGTCATAAAAACCATTAATTTAAAGTTTCCTCTCCTAACCTAACCTAGTAAACCAGAGGCCCCAAAACAGAAAACAGGACAGTACGTCAATTTCGTGAGCTGATTTAATTTTCTATTATGACCATTTTTGGCCTTAGTGCGCATACAAGCGAAATGTGACGTAATTAGTAAGAGGACGGGTTGAGCAGAGAATTATTTGAGTAACAAAAAACTAAGTTGACAATATTGAGTTTTATAACCAATCTACAGAATACTGTACAGACAGTACAGATAGAGGTATATATACTATATATATAGTATACTATATATAGTTTTGACACATTTCATAATAGCTTGCATTAGTACTTTCCATTTAGTCTGTGGCAGGTTTATCGAATTGGGCATTTCAAAAGATGAATGGGTAACTCTATTATTATTATTATTATTATTATTATTTTTTTTTTTTTATTATTATTATTATTATTATTATTATTATTATTATTATTATTATTATTATTTTGGAATTAATGTAGCTGGATCATGCAAAGAATATTTTTTATGATAGTTTACGATCTCTTTCCACCAGACCGAGCGAGGGGCAAATTTCTCAAACCACACCACCTGGTGTCCGAGGACTCCCTTGTCTACTTCTGCACCACCGTAATAATCTTGGAAACCCAGCTGCTCTATGCCGGCCTGTCTGGCCAGAAGGCCGGTGATGTAGGCGTCGTCCACCCACAGGAATGGGACGACTTTGGAGGCCTCTAGAAGTCGTGGGATAAGGTTGGTCTGCAAGAACCAGGCACCACCAGAGCAGTAAAGTGGATAATCCTGGGATGGGTACTCTTTGTACCTCACTTTCCAGCGACCTTCTCTCAGAGCTGGTCCGTACATGTGACTACATATAAACTGTTTTTCGTTGACGTCGTCGAGCTCCTGAAGGGCCCTGTAGTAGAGGAAGATATCGATGTGAGTGTCGTCGTCAGCGTGAAGGGTCCAGGGAACGTGAGAGCAGTGCTTATTGATCCAGTAGAGGCTGGCCAGACCCTTGTAGGATAGCAAGCGGTAGTGGTCACCGTAGTCACCCTGTAAACCATAGAGTCACGTGAGAAAAGTGTAATGCATCAAATGAACAAATCCACAAGGTACGTTTGAAGAGCCTTATAGGTAAAGGGAGAGCTTGGTGCAGGGGGATTGGGGGTGGGGAGGTCGCTTTGGAGCAGGAATTCGTACAACTGGTTGGAGGTGTTGGGGGGCAACCCGTTCTCGCAAATTCGTAAAGTCAATATTGACTTGTTAACTACGTGCATAGGTGATATACTAAACATAATAGATACCCCTAAAAAGATTCATAGAAAACACCGACCTTACCTAACCTTGTTAGTATATTAAGATAAGCATCTTATTGCTTCGTAATTACAATTATTACTTAACCTATACCTATTATAGGTTAGGTAATAATTGTAATTACGAAGCAATAAGATGCTTATCTTAAGATACTAACAAGGTTAGGTAAGGTCGGTGTTTTCTATGAATCTTTTTAAGGGTATCTATTATGTTAAGTATGTCACCTATGCACATATTTAATAAGTCAATATTGACTTATTAAATTTGCGAGAACGGGTTGCGGGGGGGAGATAGGGAAAGCAAAGGGAAACTGTGGAGTTCGCGTGGTGGGGCGGGCAGGGACGGGTCCTGAAGGGTTTTTTCAGTTGTATCGTGCTGGGACTGGGGAGAGGATAGGTCCATTGAAGGCTGAGACAGGTCAGGTGGCAGATGGTGATGAGGAGATGAGTGGTATTTTTAATAAATGTTTTGTATCTGTATTTGCTGGGGAGGAGCTTGACAGTGTGCCTTCAGCCGAGCGGGTCTGTGTGGGTGGGGACGAGGACAGGTTGACGGGTTTGGCAGTTGCCGGGGAGGATGTTCTTGAGCGGGTAGTGGAACTCGAGCCAAACAAATCCCCAGGGCCGGATGAAGTGTTTGCCGGGGTGCTTAGGGAGTGCAAAGAGGAGCTTTGTGACCCGCTGTCAGCCATATTTGGTGGATCAATGGAGTCGGGCAGAGTGCCAGAGTTTTGGAAGGTTGCTGGTGTGGTGCCAGTTTTTGAGAAGGGAGATAGATCACTTGCGTCTGGCTGTCGACTAGTTGGCCTGGCGTCTATTGTGGGAAGGTTGCTCGAGTCTATGATAGCAGATAAGGTTCGTCTTCATCTTGAAAGACATAAATTGGTGGTTAAGTCGCAACATGGTTTTGTGAGTGGCCGTTCATGTTTAACAAATTTGTTGTCTTTTTGTTCTAGCGTGGTTGGGGCAGTTGATAGGTGGTAAGGATTGTGATGTTGTGAGCCTTGACTTTGGCGGGGCTTTTGATGCAGTGCCACGTGAGAGACTGGTTGGAGGGATAGAGTCTCATGGTGTTGGGGGTGCTGGATTGGGGCATGGCTATACCGGGGGAAACGGAGAGTTGGTGTGGATGGAGTCGGGTCGGAGTGGGAAGGTGTTGTGGGTGGAGTGCCTCAGGGCTCTGTCCTGGGACCTCTTGTTGTTTGTGATATATGTGGGTGATTTGGATTCGGGTTTGAGTAGCAACATTTGCGAGTTTGCCGGTGATGCGAAGATCGGTAGGGAAATTAATTCGAAGGAGGACTCACTATCACTTCAAGTTGATCTAGATAGGGTTTTGAAATGGCCAAAGGATTGGCAGATGCAGTTTAATGCTGATAAATGTAAAGTTCTGAGGCTAGGTAATGATGGTAGAGTTACAAGTTACGAGCTAGATGGTGTTGAGATTGCGAAGTCGGATTGCGAAAGGGATCTGGGAGTTATGATTAGTAAGAATTTAAAACAAAAGGATCAATGCATAAATGTTCGTAATAAGGCAAATCGGACACTTGGATTTATTAATTGCAGCATTAGTAACAAGACACCTGGTGTGGTTCTTAAGCTATATCTTGCTCTAGTTAGGCCCCATTTAGATTATGCAGTTCAGTTTTGGTCGCCATATTATAGAATGGATATAAATTCACTTGAACGTGTCCAGCGTAGGATGACTAAGTTAATTCCCCAAATTAGAAATCTTTCATATGAAGAAAGATTAACAAAGCTTAAGTTGCATTCACTGGAAAGGCGAAGAGTTAGGGGTGACATGATAGAGGTTTACAAGTGGGTGAATGGACATAACAAAGGGGATATTAATAGGGTATTAAAAGTATCAACACAAGACAGAACACGAAACAATGGGTAAAAATTGGTTAAGTTTAGATTTAGGAAAGACTTGGGTAAATACTGGTTCAGTAACAGGGTTGTTGATTTGTGGAACCAATTACCGCGTAACGTCTAAATACCTAACCAGAGCAAGATATAGCTTAAGAACCACACCAGGTGTCTTGTTACTAACGCTTCGATTAATAAATCCGAGTGTCCTATTTGCCTTATTACGAACATTCATGCATTGATCCTTTTGTTTTAAATTCTTACTAATCATAACTCCCAGATCCCTTTCGCAATCCAACTTCGCAATCTCAACACCATCTAGCTCGTATCTTGTAACTCTATCATCATTACCTAGCCTCAGAACTTTACATTTATCAGCATTAAACTGCATCTGCCAATCCTTTGACCAATTCAAAACCCTATCTAGATCAACTTGAAGTGATAGTGAGTCCTCCTCCGAATTAATTTCCCTACCGATTTTCGTATCATCGGCAAATTTGCAAATGTTGTTACTCAAACCTGAATCTAAATCATTTATATATATTATAAACAACAGAGGTGCCAATATAGAGCCTTGAGGCACTCCACTTACAACATTTTCCCACTCTGACTTGACTCCATTTATACTAACTCTGTTTCCTTTGGTAGAGCCATGCCCTAATCCAGCTTAATATAGCACCCCCAATACCATGAGCCTCTATCTTTTTAATCAGTCTTTCATGTGGCACTGTATCAAAAGCTTTGCTAAAGTCTAGGTACACAACATCACAATCCTTACCACTATCAACTGCCTCAACTATGCTGGAATAAAAAGATAACAAATTTGTTAAACATGAACGGCCATTTATAAAACCATGTTGCGACTCAATTATTAATTTATGTTTTTCAAGATGGAGACGAATTTTATTTGCAATTATAGATTCGAGTAACTTTCCCCTAATAGACGTTAGGCTAGTTGGTCGATAGTTAATGTAGGAGAAATCGTCAGTCAGGTGCTGTCACAGTGAGAGGTTGTGTTAGCTGGAACTCTGGAGTAACATTATTATTGCAATAATGGAAGGATTAGTTAATGATTTGGTGAGTTTGGTTGGAGCTCTGAGAGCAGAGATGGATTCCCTGCGGGAGGAGGTACGACGGCTGAGACTTCGAGAGGAAACGAAGGAGGAGACCAGTGTTGACGAGACCTCATCGTGCAGAGTAGTGAAAGACAGGGGTCTTAAGAAGACCTTGACAAGGCCGCCTACAGACGCCCTAAGGACGGCAAATTCATTTGCCGTGTTGGAGGACGAGTGCTGTAGTGCGCCTCCAGCGAGGAAATCAGCGAGGAACGGCGGAGCGCAGGCCCCTCAGGCTGCTCAGAAAGTTAGGGCGGTACCGAAGCGAATTTTGGTTGTGGGAGATTCCCAGGTGAGGTATTTAGACAGAACGTTTTGTGCCAGAGATAGGGGGAACAGATTAAGGGTTTGCTATCCGGGAGCTGGAATTGGTGATATTGTTGAAAACATGAATGATATTATGACAGGAAATGGGAACAAACCCATTATTTGTATTAGTGCAGGGGGTAATGATGTTGGGCGAGTTAGGAGTGAGGAACTAATACAGAGATTCAGGACAGCCATTGAATTAGTTAGGAGCAAGGGAGGAATCCCGATCATATGTGGCATTCTTCCAAGAAAGGGAGTGGGAAATGAATGGATGTCGAGGGCAATTGGTGTCAATTGCCGGCTGGAAAGATATTGCAAATCAAATGCAATATCTTTCATAGACAACTGGGAACGCTTCTATGGAAGAAATGAAATGTATGCTCGTGATGGGGTGCATCTATCGAGGGCTGGGGTTGTTGCTGTTGCGAAGTCGTTGGAACCAGTGGTTAGAGGTGTTTGTTTGGGTTTAAACTGTTAGTAGATAGTGGTATGGGAATTGATTTGGAGGAAGGAGGTAATAAAAGTATGTGCTCGTGGGAGAAAAGAATTGGCAAAATGATCAGGGAAAGAAAAGGGCCTCAAAATATCAATTCACTTAGGGTATATTACACTAATAGTAGAAGTCTAAGAAATAAAATTAACGAATTAAATGCTCTTGTCTGCACAGAAAAAATAGATATTATTGCACTTACCGAAACGTGGATGAATGTAGAAAATAGAGAACTATTAGCTGAATATCAAATAAATGGATTTAAACTATTTCACACAGATAGATGCGAAACAAAGATAATTAGGTGGAATAGAAGTCACTGTCTGGCTTCCAATCAACGGACTGGTACAGTACAGCAATCAGAAGGATCACTATCCACAAACCCAACGAGCTATAGAGACCAGTTGTTGTTGCAAAAGTTTTCCTCGAGCAGATGCCACTCACAACTAAACCAGCAGCAATCATGACAGCAACACTACAGGGAACTATGATGTACATTCTTGGATTCCGAGTACAATCTGCATAATGTTTGGTAGCCGCCACATACTCTTTATATTCTTTAGTTGGTTCAATCGATTCATGGTGGTAGTTCCACCTTTGGTATCCATTCCTTTGTGAAGGGGGTAATGTCGTAGGTAGAGCTGTGGTTGTAGTTGGTGGGATAGGAGGACTCTGTGCATCCCTCTGGGAGAACTGGACTGCTACCCATAATCCAAAGCCACCCAAAACCAGCTGGACAATGTAAGTAAACAGCAAGATCCACGCTACGCGGGTGTTCATGGTGACCTTGTCCTCGATCACCAGTACTGGCAGCACACGTATAGTACAAGAGGCAGAGTAACCAGGAAGTGTACGCGTCTCCCACCTGTGGCCCAGGTTGTGGAGGTACTGGACCAAGAGGCTAGTGGAGGTCCGCCTGGCCCACCCTCGGCCACGGAGCCAACAAAATGATAATGA